TTGTCAACAAATGTCATAAAACAATATGTGTACTGACTGTTTAATGAGAAACTATTCTGTAAACCCTCACCTAAAGACAATAAAAAAATATTAAAAACAAAACAAAACAAAAACCCTCACAACTGGACCAACAAGCAACATCATGATAAACAGAGAAAAGATGGAAGTTGTCAAAGATTTCATTTTACTTGGATCCACAATCAACACCCATGGAAGCATCAGTCAAGAAATCAAAAGATGCATTGCGATGAGCAAATCCACTGCAAAAGACTTCTTTAAATTGATAAAAAGCAAAGATGTCACCTTGAAGACTAAGGTGCGCCTGACCCAAGCCGTGGTGTTTTCAATCATCTCACATGCATGCGAAAGCTGGACAATGAATAAGGAAGACCAAAGAAGAATTGACGCCTCTGAATTATAGTGTTGGCAAAGAATACTGAATATACCACCGACTGCCAAAAGAACGAACAAATCTGTCTTGGAAGAAGTACAGCCAGAATGCTCCTGAGAAGAATGGCAAGACTTCATCTCACTTACTTCGGACATGTTATCAGGATGGATCAGTCCCTGGAGAAGGACATCATGCTTGGTGTCATGGATTGAAGTGCGCTCCCCAAAAATATCTGTCAACTTGGCTAGACCACGATTCCCGGTATTGTGTGATTGTCCACCATTTAGTCATCCCGTGTGATTTTCCTATGTGTTATAAATCCTATCACTATGATGTTAATAGATGGATTAGCAGCAGTTATGTTGATGAGATCTGTAAGATTAGACTGTGTCTTAAGCCAGTCTCTTTTGAGATATAAAAGAAGCGAGCAGAGAGACAGGGGGACCTCACACCACCAAGAAAACAGCACTGGGAGCAAAGCGCGTCCTTTGGACCAAGAGTCCCTGCACCAGAGAAGCTCCTAGATCAAGGGAAGATTGGTGGCAAGGACCTTCCTCCAGAGCAGACAGAGAAAGCCTTCTCCCGGAGCTGATGCCCTGAATTTGGACTTCTAGCCTACTAGACTGTGAGAGAATAAACTTCTGTTTGTTGAAGACATCCACTTGTGGTATTTCTGTTATAGCAGCTTTAGATGATTAAAACACTTTGTAAAGTAGAGGGTCAGTGAAAAAGAGGAAGACCCTCAACAAGATGGATTGACACAGTGGCTGCAACAATGGGCTCAAGCTTAACAACAATTGTGCAGATTGTGTAGGACCGGGCAGTGTTTTGTTCTGTTGTACATGGGGTCGCTGTGAGTCAGAAGTGACTCAACAGCACCTCACAACAACTTTCAACATTGTACTGGACATCACAGCCAGAGAAGTTAGGCAGGGAAAATAAAGGCATCTAATTCTGATAGGAAATAAAACTATCTCTATTTACAAATGACATAATCATATAGACAGAAAAATCCAAAAAAATCCACAAGAAAGTTACTAGACCTAAAAAGGATTTCAACAAATTTGCAGGGTACAATATTAGTATGTAAAAATAAGTTGTGTTTCTATACACTATTAATCAAGAAGCTGAAAAGAAAATTAAGAAAACGATTCCATTTACAATAATATATAAAAGAATAAAATATGTAGGAATAAATGTAATTGAGATGAAAGACTTGTACACTGAAAACTAGAAAATATTGTTAAAAAATTTAACGGAGACCTAAACAAATGCAAAGACATTTGTCTGCATGGATTGGAAGACTTAATATTGTTAAGATGTAAGTACTACTGAAAGCAGTATATAGATTCAACACAATCCCCATCAAAATGCCAATGGCTTTTCTGCAAAAAAAAAAAAAAAAAAAGGCCTAGAAAATCCTCAAATTCATATCAGATTGCAAAGGGTCCCAAATAGACAAAACAATCTTGTAAAAGAAGAACAAAGTAGAAGGACTCACATTTCCTGACTTCAAAACTTAGAAAGCTACATTAATCAAAACAATGTCACACTAGTAAAAGGATACACACACAAACCAATGCAATGGAAATGACAGTCCATAAATAAACTCAATCTAAAACCAAATCCATTGCCAGAATGTCGATTCCGACTCATAATGACCCTATAGGACAGAGTAGAACTGCCCCATAGGGTTTCCACGGAGCGGCTGGTAGATTCTAACTGCCAGTCTTTTGGTTAGTAGCCATAGCTCTTAACCACTGCGCCACCAGAGCCCCAATTAATTTTTAATAAGGGCACCAACATCATTCAATGGGGAAAAAAACAGTCTGCTCAAAAAAGGTGCTAAGATAATTGGATTTCCATATGCAAAAGAATGAAGCTGGACCGACCCTATCTAACAAGATAAGGAAAGAAAAAAGAACAGTTGCACTCACACATGGTGACCTCAGGTGTGTCAGAATAGAACTGTGCTCCATAGGGTTTTCAGTGGCTGTGATCTTTTGGAAGCAGATTGACAGGTCTTTCTTCTGAGGTGCTCCTGGGTGGATTCGAAGTGTCAACCTTCTGATTAGTAGCTGAGCAAGTAAGCGGCTGTGCCACCCATAGTTTGGGTCAGGTGCACCTTAGCCCTCAAACTGACATCTTTACTTTTCAACAAAGAGGTCTTTTGCAGATTTGCCAGTGCAATACATCATCTGGTTTCTTGACTGCTGCTTCCATGGGTGTTGATTGTGGATCCAATTAAAATGAAACCCTTGACAACTTCATTCTTTTCTCTGTTTATCATGATGTTGTTAACTGGTCCAGGTGTGAATCCATAATGAAGGCTGTGGTCTTTGATCCTCATCAGTAAATGCTTCAAGTCCTCTTCGCTTTCAGCAAGCAAGGTTGTGTCATCTGCACATCGCAGGTTGTTAATGAATCTTCCTCCAATCCTGATGCCGCATTCTTCTTCATATAGTCCAGCTTCTTGAGTTATTTGCTCAGCATACAGACTGAATAAGTACGATGAAAGGATAAAATTCTGATAGACATGTTTCCTAATTTTAAACCAGAGTATCCCCTTGTTCTCTTCGAATGACTGTCTCTTGGTGTATACATATGTATATACACACACACACATACACACACACACACACACACATATATATCAACACACAGATACATACACACACACATAACTGTGTGTGTGTGTGTAAATATAATAAATTAGACAGCACAGTGTCAGTATACGAAAACAAATAGATCAATGGAAAAAAAGTAAATAGTCCAGAACGGGTCCACCTACCAATATGGAAAGCTGAGTCATGGCAAAGGAAGTACTGCAGGGTACTGCCAGAAACTACACACACTTTAATATGTGGGGTTGAGTCACTACCTACCTGATGGAATAATTAATGCATTACTACCTACTCCATATGCAAAAATTAATTCAAAATAAATTACTTTTAAATGTGAAAATGTAAAATCATAACACTTTCAGAAGTTATAAACAAATGAGTTTATGACATCAAAATAGAGAAAAAAATTCTGAAATAAGAAAATACATGAGGGAATAGGTAGACAACTCAACAATATTAAAATTCAGAACTATTTATTAAAGGGCCACAAAAAGTGAGGGTAAAAGCTACATACCAGGGAAAATTTTTCAATATATATAAATGAAAAATGTATTTCCAAAAGCTATAAAGAAGCCCTAAAAAGTCAGAAAAAGATGAACCAGCAATGGGTAAATATGCACAGCCTTGTCAGTACTGGAGTAGTTTAAGATAATTGCAGAATAAAATTAAAGTAAGATACCATTTCATACACCTCTACAAAGCAAATATTAATTAATTTGATAATCCCCATGTTGCCAAGCACATGAAATAAATAAAATACACATATATACAATGTGGGGGGGGGGACTGAAAAACTACATCGTCATTTTCTAGTAAATTTAAACTTGATTATGATCTGCAATTCAGTGGTTTCCCCTCACCAAAGTTATTGGGTAATAGCACTTGAACCTGGAAAGAGAATGAACAGAGCAGCACTATTCACAAGAGGAAAAACTAAACTAGAAACACCCTAAATTTTGTAAGCTGTACAATGGGTAGGTAAATGTGGCCCATTCATAAAATGGAACACATACTTATATAGGAACTTGAGTAAACTAGACCTACAGACACCAACATGTATGAAACTCAAAAACAAGACACTGAAGAACCCATTCAGAGTAACTGTCTTTACAGAAAGCTCAAAAGATGCAAAACTCAACAATATATAGTTTAAGAATTAAGACTTCGGTGGTAAATTTATAATAATAGCAATAACAATAATAATACATTTCTAATACATTGATAGTAGTTACCTCCATGTTAATGAGATCAGGACAGGACACACTAGGAAGCTCTAAGAACTCCCTGAGTCCTATTTGTAATCAGATGTTTAGATTCGTGTTATCAAAACTTTACATGAAAAGTTTTATGCATCCTATGTTTATAATATACAACAGAAAGTTTAAAACATTATTTCAAACTGGAAAAGAAATATAATTTTCATACTTTATTTTATCAAGTAATCTGACAGCCCCTTCATATTGATTCAACTTGTCTTGGTGGCATAGTGGTTAAGAGCTCAGCTGCTAACCAAAAGGTTGGCAGTTCGAATCCACCAGCCGCTCCTTGGAAACCCTATGGGGCAGTTCTACTCCGTCCTATAGTGTGGCTATGAGTCGGAAAAGACTCAATGACAATGCGTTGTCTTAGGTCAGGAGGGCTTTTATACCTCATGTTTTACACCTGGATCTTAGAAATTTACATTTATATTCACTAGAGGGAGCTTTGTAAAAAGAAAACGTTGGAAACTATCCAAGTTCCATTCATGTTGACAAAGTTAAAAAGAAAAGAAAAAACTAGGAGAGATCCACCATATGCAGTATTATGGAGTTTATACAACTTTAGACTCAAGATGTTTATGTATTGTTATGAACAGAATTCCAGGATAATTTTTGTTAGCTGAAAAAAGCAAGTGTAAATTCCAAGCTATTTTTTGCATAACAAAGTAGGGGCAATAAAAATTTCTAATTCTATTTGCTTGCATTTATATAAAGAAATACTGGCAAGATGCTTAAGAAAGACTACAATAAAGCTGGTTATCTAAAGATAGCTAGTAGAAGAATGGTCTCTATGAGAACAAGGTTAGGAACAAGTCTTTATAAAGACTGCTTGTTAAGTGCATATTGAGATTTGTGCTTTAAAGGTATTATCTATAGGAAAAACAAAATAATTTTACTTTTAAACACAATATAAATCAAATGTGCTATTTAATATGTTTCCTAGGAACTCCCATTAAAAAGTAGAGAACCATTTATGATTTAGTCCTGATCCATATATAACGTCATACACAAAACTAATTCAAAATGGATCAAAGAGCTAAATATAAAACCAAAAACTATAAAGATCATGGAAGAAAAAACAGGGTCAATGCTAGAGGCCCTAATACATGGCATAAATAGGATACAAACCATAACTAACAATACACAAACACAAGAAGATAAGCTAGATAACTGGGATGTTCTAAAATTTAAACACTTATGAGCATCAAAAGACTTCACCAAAAGAGTAAAAAGAGAATCTACAGACTGGGAAAAAAATTTTCGCTATGACATATCCGATAAAGGTCTAATCTCTAAAATCTATAGGAAACTCCAACACCTCTACAACAAAAAGACAGATAATCCAACTAAAATATGGGCAAAGGATATGAATAGACATTTCACCAAAGAAGATATTCAGGCAGCTAACAGACACATAAGGAAATGCACACAATCACTAACCATTAGAGAAATGCAAATCAAAACTACAATGAGAAACCATGTTACCCCGATATTACCGGCACAAATCAAAAAACCAGAAAACAACAAATGTTGGAGAGGCTGCGAGGAGATTGGAACTCTTATGCACTGTTGATGGGAATACAAAATGGAGATGGATGGACAGTGGCTGCAACAATGGGCTCAAGCATTACAACGATCATAAGGATGGTGCAGGACTGGGCAGTGTTTTGTTCTGTTGTCTATTGGGTTGCTATGAGTCAGAACCTACTCGATGGCACCTAACAACTAATAACATTTTGGAAAACGATATGGCACTTCTTTAAAAAACTAGAAATAGAAATACCATATGATCCAGGAATCCGACTCCTAGGAATATATCCTAAAGTAAGCACCGTCACACGAATAGACATATGCACACTCATGTAAACTGCAGCATTATTCACAATAGGAAAAGGATGGAAACAATGTAAGTGCTCATCAACAGATGAATGGATAAACAAACTATGGTACATACACACAATGGAATACTATGCAACAATAAAGAACAACAATAAATCTGCGAAACATCTCACAACATGGATGAATCTGGAGGGTATTATGCTAAGTGAAATAAATCAATCAGTAAAAGACCAATACTGTATGAGACCACTATTATAAAAACTCATGAAAAGGTTTACACACAGAAAGAAATCATCTTTGATGGTTACAAGGAAGGGGAGGATTGGGGAGGGAAATACAGTAACTAGACAATAGATAAGTGGTAAATTTGGTGAAAGATTAGATAGTACACAATACTTGGGAAACCAGCACAACGTGACCAAGGCAAAGCCATAGAAGCTTCTTAGACACATCCAAACTCCCACAGGGATCGAGTTACTGGGCTGAGGGCTGGGGATCATGGTCTCAGGGGACACTTACCTCAACTGGCATAACATAGTTTGTATGGAAAATGTTCTACATCCTACTTTGGTAAGTAGCATCTGGGGTCTTAAAACCTTGTGAAAAGCTAAGATATGTCTACTGGTCCCACCCCATCTGGAGCAAGGGAGAATGAAGAAAACCAAAGACAGGAGGGAAAGATTAGTCCAAAAGACTAATGGAACACAACTACCACACCCTCCATCAGACTGAGACCAGCACAACCAGATGGTGCCCAGCTACCACCACTGACTGCTCTGACAGGGATCACAATAGAGGGTCCCGGACAGGGCTGGAGAAAAATGTACAAAATTCAAGCTCACAAAAAAAGACCAGACTTACTGGTCTGACGGAGACTGGAGAAACCCCAAGAGTATGGCAACCGGACACCCTTTTAACTCAGTACTGAAGTTACTCCTGAGGTTCACCCTTCAGCTGAGGATTAGACAGGCTCATAAAACAAGCAATAATACATGTAGCTCAACCACGTATACGAGACTAAATGGGCACACCAGCCCAGGGGCAAGGACGAGAAGGCTGGACCAATGGAAATGGGGGACCCAGGGTCGAGAAGGGGAGAGTGTTGACACATCATGGGGTTGGCAACAATTGTCACAAAACAATATGTGTATTGTTTAATGAGAAACTAATTTGCTCTATAAACCTTCACCTAAGGCACAATTTAAAAAAAAAAAAAAAGATTACAGCCAAGAAAACCCTATGGGGCAGTTCTACTCTGTCACATAGGGTTGCTATGAATTGAAATCGACTCAATGGCACCTAACAACATTAACAGGCTTCATCAAAGTGCTGGGTCAACACGTACATGAAATATCTGGGATAGGCAAGTGTATAGAGACCAGTTTATTGGTGCTTACCAGGGTAGGTGGGAGGAAAGGGGAAAGGAGGGTTTATTGCTTAGGGAATACTGAGCTTCTGTTAAGGGTGATAGAAAAACTTGGGAGCAGATAAGCGTGGTGGTTGAACAACATGATGAACTTAATCAATGTCATTGAACAGTACAAGTGAAGACTGTTGAAATGTCAAATGTTTTCTTACATATATGTTTACAATTTTTAAAAAGATGAATTAAAATTTCATCAATAATTGCAAAACCCCACTGTCTTAGTCATCTAGTGCTGCTATAACAGAAATACCACAAGGGGATGGCTTTAACAAAGAGAAGTTTATTCGCTCACAGTCTAGTAGGCTACAAGTCCAAACTCAGGGCATCAGCTCCAGGGGAATGCTTTTTCTGTCGGCTCTGGAGGAAGGTCCATGTCATCAATCTTCCCTCGGTCTGGGAGCTTCTCTGCACAGGAACCTCAGGTCCAAAGGACGTGCTCTGCTCCCAGCACTGCTCTCTTAGTGCTGTGAGGTTCCCTTCCTGGGCGGGATTCTGACTTAGAGGCATTCAGTCATAATCCCACAGATGGTAGCTTCGCCCCATTGGCTGTTCAGCCAAGCACATACGCCAGACGTCTGAACCTGCGGTTCCTCTTGTACTGAGCAAGGTTATCATGGCAACAACACATAAGGAAATCACATCAGATTGCAAAATGGTACACAATTATACAATACTGGGAATCATGACACAGCCAAGTTGACAGATATTTTGGGGGGACACAATTCAATCCATGACACCCACCAAAAAAGAAAACAAAAATTCATCAGTAATTCCAAAACCAAAAAAGTGCCTGAGTCTCCTGCTCCACCCCCCTCAGACTATCCTGAGATACCCTTTAAACTTGGAATTGAAGCCACTCCCAGAGGTCACCTTTCAGCCAAATAACGGACTGGCTCATAAAATAAACAGTATCACTATGTTAGTCATCTAGGGCTGCCATAACAGAAATACCACAAGTGGGTGGTTTTAATGAAGAGCAGTTTATTTCCTCACAGTCAAAGTAGGCTAAAAGTCCAAATTCAGGGCGTCAGCTCCAAGGGAAGGCTTTCTCTCTCTTGGCCTTCTCATCAGTGTTCCCCCGGACTAGGAGAATCTCTGCGCAGGGACCCCGGTCCAAAGGACGCGCTCTGCTCCCGGCACTGCTTTCTTGATGGTATGAGGTCCCCCTGTCTCACTGCTCACTTCTGTCTTTTATATCTCAAGAGATTGCCTTAGGACACAATCCAGTCTTGTAGATCCAGTCCTGCCTTACTAACACAACTGCCACCCATCCTCCCTCATTAACATCATAGAGGCAGGATTTACAACATATAGGAAAATCACACAGTACCAGGAATCAGGGCCCAGCCAAACTGATATACACATTTTTTGGGGGACATAATTCAAACCATGACAATCACCCATGAGTACTCTGCTCCTTTAAATAATCATCTACGTGAGACCAAACTGTCAACATTTACCCTAAAGCAAAGGTGGGAGGACAGGTAAGCTAGATTAATGGAAACAGAACAACTAGAATGGAAATAATGAGAATGTTGACACATTGTGAAAAATGTAACCAATGTCATTGAACATGTACAGAAATTGTTCAATGTCAACCTAATTTGTTGTGTAAACTTTTACCAAAAACACATTAAAAAAAAAAAGATTTAATCCCTTAGGCCCTGTCATGGTTTGAATTATGTCCCCCAAAAAATGTGTGTATCAATTTGGC